CTGTCTTTACTCATCTTTAGTTTATTTAGTCAACTTTTATTTCTATTGTTGCGAAACAAAAACTATAATCAGGGCCACTTGTTTAAAAATAATGTTCATTTAATGTAATCATTCAATAATATGTATTTTCACTGTCAAGTGAAAACCTTCTTTCACCATCTTTATCCCTGTCATGAGTTAGGGTTACATGTTTAAGTGTGTATTGTTCTGTTCTTTTTTATAACATGTCCAATGTTGGAAATAATCACATTGTGATGTTTTCTAACTCACTGATAAATATTGTGAAATTAAATAATGAAAGAATTTGACAACAGATAACTTCAATAGCACTTTAAGTTATGCTTTAACATTGGTGTTGCATACTGCTAGTGGCAGATTACATTCTTCAGGGTCAAATGAGTGTTTTTTGCAACATTGCTGATATTGTTTCGATAAGCTTCTGCAATGTCACCAGATTTATTTCCATCCAGTGTAGCATTAATGTTCCACCAAGATTTTGTATTGATGATGGTAGAGTCTGACCGCTGCATAAAGCCTTCTCAAGCACATCCTAACAATTCTCAATAGGGTTAAGGACACTGTGGTGGCAAAATCCATGTGTGAAAATGATGTCTCATGCTCCCTGAACCACTCTTTAACTATTTGAGCCTGATGAATCCTGGCATTGTCATCTTGGGATATCCCTGTGTCATCAGAGAAGATGGAACAACCTGGTCATTCAGTATATTCAGGTAGTCAGCTGACCTCATTCTTGCCATTCATCCTGTTTCTGAACCTAGACCTGACCAACTGCAGCAACCCCAGATCATAGCACATCCCCCGCAGGCTTTTACAGTAGGCACTAGGCATGAGGGGTGCATCACTTCATCTGCCTCTCTTCTTACCCTGATGCACCATCACTCTGGAACAGGGACCATCTGGACTCATCAGACCAGTTTTTAATAATATGTTGGACAGTTCTGAACCCAGTTTTAGTTGTTAATGCCAAACCAACAAACATGAGACAGGATTTGCCTAGTAACATGATATGTCCATTCTTATGTGTTATGGTTAAAGTCCTAGCTTCATTTTCATCTGTTAGGGTCCAAGTCATGAGTGACTTATGATACCTAAAATATTTTTGGAAACTGGTGTCAAACAATCAAATGTGAACATTGAATTTAACGAGCTCAGTGGTCTAGTGGTAGAGTGTCTGCCTTGGGACTAGGAGAACAGGGTTCAAATCCCAGTTGGGCCACAGACTGTAACAATGAGACCCAATGCCTTCCTGTTTGACACTCAGCTTTAAGAGGTTGAATTTGGGGAGTTAAACCACCAAACATTTCCTGAGCACGGCCACAGCTTCAGCAACTCCCCTTCCCCCAGGTGTGAGTGTGTGTGCATGTTTGTTTGTCCTGTGTGTCTATGTGTTGTCCTGCGATGTTACTGGCAATCTGTTTATTTATTTATTTTTTTTTGTTTGGCATTATTTTAATAATGCTCTCCGTCTGTTTGCACTTGTTTTTAGAACATTTTATAACAATTAAACCAATTTTAACTCTACTGTCGCATTTCTTATGTTGCCCTCTCCTTCACATTTTAACACCTCCTGTCGGGGACGAAACACGAGTGATATCTTTAGTTACTGAAAAAAGCAAGTGTTTCCTTCACATAGAAATGGAAAGTGGCTAAAACAGAGACTTACAAAGCACCCATATTCAAAAAGATGTTACAAAACTAAATAAAACTCAAGACAAAAGGACAGCCAGAGCCTCTCTGGTCTGCTGACCCCTTGAAGTTGAGAGCTGGCTGGCTTTTATGCAGTGGCAGGGCTGATTGTGATTTGGGACAGCTGGTAGAGTCCAAATAGAGCTGAAACAGGTGTGGGAGGAGCCTCTCGCACACAGGAAGGGAGAAACAGAGGAAAGAATTAAAATACAAACAAAACAAATGACCCAGGGCCATAACATCAGAGACGATGTCCTGCCATAAGTAGAGGAGTTTCAGTATCTCTGAGTCATATTCATGTGTGATGGTAAGAAGGAACGGGGGATTGATAGGCAGATTGGTGCTACAGTGATGCAAGTGTTGTACTGGTCTGTTTGAGTAAAAAGAGAGAGCTTGAAGCTCTTGATTTACCGGCTGTTCCAACCCAGATTCAAGCCAGTTGAAGTGGCTCGGGCATCTGGTTAGGATGCCTCCTGCTCACTTCACTGGTGAGGTTTTCCGGGCACATGCAACTGGGAGGAGACCTAAAGTTAGACCCAGGACACGATGGAGAGATTATGTTTCCCCTAATAATAGAGAGAAGCAATATTTTTTTTTAACTGACACACACACACACACACACACACAGAGAGAATTGTATGTTTCATATGATTTAAGATGTTTTTTTTTCACACATTTAATTTTTGGGTTGCCAGCAGTATGTGACGAATATTCCTTGATGGCAAAAAGGTTCCAGAGAAACATCTCAGATTGCACCTTTAACAAATCTGGAATCTGTTTCTGAGACCAAAATCTTCAACGTTCAAAACAGAAACTTATTAGACAAAAGCTTTTTTGGCAGTCTGATAAAACTGTGTGTGTGTGTGTGTGTGTGTGTGTGTGTGTGTGTGTGTGTGTGTGTGTGTGTGTGTGTGTGTGTGTGTGTGTGTGTGTGTGTGTGTGTGTGTGTGTGTGTGTGCCTGTCCTCTGCATCGGAGCTCTTGCCCCAGCGAGCTGCTCAGGAGAGAAAACAGAATTGCCCCCCTCTGGAGGTGCTTGGGTTGCCTCGGGGGGTGGACTACTGGCGGTTGTGAGTGGGGCCCCTTGGGGATCTTGGCGGCGGCCATGGGTCACTGCCTGGCGGCTGCAATGCCCCTGGGCGGGTCTGGGTGGGGGCCTGGGGGCTCGGGGTTTGGGGGTGGCCGGCCCAGTGTGGGGATCTGGGCGGGGCCTTCGGGGTCGGGTCCTGACATGTATGCTGCCGGGAAGAAGGCAGGGACACCCAGCAGTGCCTGGCTCGGGTTCGAGGGCCTCAGGTAGACCTTGGCTCCTCTGCCGTTCCATCACAGGGGAGGGGGAGGTCCAGGAGGGGGAGGATCCAACCTTACCTGGATGTCCCATGTCTTATATATTCTGGAAGTTGTGCAAATGCAGGGGTGGGCATAGATATTCTGCTGGGGTGGGGCTGGGTTGGTGCCCTCGGACTCCGTGAGGCTCTGTAATGCTGCTGCTTTGGGCCCTGGCAGGATGGGCTGGGGTCTCCATGCCCTGGGTGGCAGTTTGACAACAGAGGTGCCTATTGGGGCCAGTAGGGGAGCTGGCTCCCTGGAGGGCTAAGCCCAACCAGCCATTCCTCCCCATCCCCGCATATTTCTCTCCTCCTGCTCCCTCACATCATCACACAAACATACACATAGGACCTTGGGGGGTAGGCAAGTCAGGGAGTGCGGGTATGGACCCCATTTCCGCATTCCTGTGGAAACCTGCCCCCCAATTTTATTTGCACCTTATACACTTCCACTGACGACATTCCACACAAACACACACTTAGGGCCTTGGGAGTGAGCACATTCAACGGCATTTGGCAGGGGGATATTTCAGCCTCCTCCCGAGTGCCGGTGCCCACTTCCAATTTTAAACCGCACTTAGACACTGATGGCTGAGGGTGTAAGTGGGGTGGTGCAGTGGCATCAGCTGGCATATGCTGGATGATGCCCGCACTGCCCACTCACCACAGCCATGGAATACACCTCATGATCACACAACACTATATTAGAGCAGGCGGAGGGAGACTAGGGGTCTTAGCCACCTCTGTTGTTGCTAGGCTGGGGCTGGAGGCTAGGAGGGAGATCTGGCCGTCTGGTTGGGGTCTGGGGTGGTGGGTTGCTGTGCTCAGCGTTGGGCGGGGGAGCCTGCTCATCAGCACCCCAGCAGAAAGGGTCAAACTCTGGTTACTGGTGATGGTTGTACCCAATGTGCAGCAGTACCGGGACCAGAGTGAATAGGGTGTGTATGGGAAGCATGAGTGGGTGTCCGGCATGCATTTTTGTAAGTCTTGGGTTGTATGTGCATGTGTGAGAATGAGGGAGGGAGCGTGTGACTGTGTTTGTGTATGACTGTATATGTCAGGTGGGGCCTTTGGGTCCTCCCCTCTCCTGGAACTTCTCTTGATGATATAGATCTCTGTCCCCCCTCCCCCTGCCACACCTGGTGTGGGGGCTTGTGCCTTGGTCTGCCTGAGTGTTCGTGGCAACCGGGTCTGGGGGTTGAAGATTTTGGCATCTGCCTGTTAGATCCCGGTGGCTGCCTGGTGGGGTCTGGGTCCCTGGGCTCTGCTGGGTCCCCGGCGGGGGTGGTCGCCCCTGGGTCCCGGGTCGCTGGGTCCCGGGCTCGGCCGGCTAGGGGGTGGGAGGCTGCGGGCGGGCCTGTGGGCTTGCCGCTGATATCTCCAGGGACTCTGCCGGCTGCTGGTTGTGGCCCCCCGGGGCGATCCTCTGTGCCTCTCGAGGGGGGCGGGGGCCTTCCTGGTTGCAGTCTCCTTGGGGTTCCTGCGTTCTGGGGCAGCGCCTGGATCTCTGGGACTTGGAGCTCCCCCCGTCTCCTGAGCATCTTTGGGGGGCGGATCTGTGGTCCCTCACATTCTCTGTTGGGCGCTCCTATAGAAAAACCTTAAATAAACAAGCGCGTGTACACACACAGGTGCTCACATGGTGCTCTCAAAAGTATGGGCTTGGGCACGTTCAACACATGTCTTAAGACTATGGTGGGCACTTAATGCGTTGTGATTTATTATCGTGATTCTTCAGTTAAGCAATGTTGATTATATATATATATATATTTTTTTTTTAATCAAGTTGACGCAGTGATAGGTAGATCTTGTTGTATTGTTGTTGTGTCCCTTTTTGTGTCCCTTTGTTTTTTTTGTCTTTTTTTTCTGCAGGTCTAGAAGCAGACTCTTGTTCATTATTGTTTATTTTTGTGGACCCCCCCCCCCCCCCCCCCCCCCCTCTCTCCCCACCATTTCTTTTCCTTTCTCTTTCACCTCTGTCTCCGTGTCTGGTCGGAATTACAAAGCATTCAACAACAATAACAATAAAGTTTTAAGTATCAGGCGTGACATTAAAAGCAAACCTTTTGATGCTCCACCTGAGAATAAATCTGTAAGGCTTGTCACCAGCATTCAGACATCAATTCTGCTTGCTTCACAGCCAGACAGGACATGTTAAAAAAAAAAAAAAAAAAGAGAGAGAAAACAGAATTATGAGGACACACACACAGCAAATTATTTTAAATAATGTGGTTCAGAGTCACCAAAAGCAACATAGCTCATGCCCGGGTTTGTTTATCTTATTATGGAGGACACCGCAGACTTTCCTGCTCTTATTAAACACCGCCCACAAGTTCGGGGATTTCTGCATTCCTGAGAAGTCCATTGGATTTATATGTGAACACTACACCGCCCGTTCGAGACCGAACTCACTCCATCCGGCCCCATCAAACCCTGACGGTGCCGACGCTATGTGTAAGCGCCATAAGAGACCTGACATGGCATTAGGTGTCAGGTTTAATTACTGCGTTTTTACAAAAGACTGTTTTCATGAAAGACATATTTTCAGGGGATTTTTTGCAATTGACCCTTTGCACGTGACGTTACGCCACTCATGGGATCGCCCCTTTTGCCATGGCGGTGGGCAAAAAAAAGTTTATACAACTCCAGTGAAGCTAGTCAAAACAAGCCAGTTTGTAGCCTTTTATTGCTTTTATTTATTTGATTTCACAGTAAAATGGGAATAGCTTGCTGCGCGGTGGACTACACTAACAGGATTAGGATATATAGTCAGCTTGATTTCTTTCATTTAAAAAATTACAATAATTGTTTTATGGTAATTTATTTGTAATCCTTAAATTAGATCCAAAAAAGGCTATTGGTAAGAATATGAAACAAAAAAAATTTCCAAGAGTCAGTCTACATCAGCGGCCCATGGAAAGACAAAATTCATCATTCTACAAAGGCAATTATAAAATAATTTGGAGGGCTGAAAATGGCCCTCGGGCCACACTTTGGACATGATTCAAATTGTTCTAACATGCATTAAATATCTGTTCAGAGGTTTGAAATAAATATAGTAACTTTTACTTTATTAATCTCCTTGGTTAAGTAATTTATCTGCATTTCACCAATTCCTGAGGAACGGTGAGTGGGCTGTCATTTATGTGCAGCCCAGGGGGTAATTTTGGGCGTTTAGTATCTTTCCCAAGGACCCTCCTTGGGCAGCAGCAGCTCAGGGCAACACTTTCTCACACCTGAAGTGTCAAAAAATGATGCTGGGTGACCAAGTGTTTGTTTCCCGGTGCATCGGGAGCCGACGCGCTGTGCCAGAGCATCATTTTCTGACTGCCGCAGTAAAATGGAGATTTCACCAACTTACTATTTAACATTCATCCCACCCCATTCTAACCTTAACCCTCTTGCACTTTCAAAACTTTGTTTCTAGTTGCAACATTCCTCTCAACACAGTTAATAGGAAGTTTAGAATGAGCAACAGGGTTAAGGTTTGGATGGGAGTGAGGGGAAGGTTAAATAGCAAGAGGTTAGAAGTTAAATGTCGGTTAAATGTGCGTTTTACCGTGGGCGTCGGAAACCAATGCTCTGGCACAGCACGTCGCCTCCGTAACTCTGGAAACAAACGCTTGGTCACCCAGCATCATTTTTTGACGCTTCGGGTGTGAGAACGTGTTGTTCAGGCGGTAGAGCAGGTTGTCCAGTAATCAGAGGGTTATGGGATTGATCCTGGCTCCCAGCGGAGAGTGCTGCTCCTTGTCTTTGGGCAAGACACTCAACCCACTGTAGCGTTATGAATCTTATAATGGTCTGCCCTTAACAGCTGCCCCTTCACACAGTAACATCACCAAGGTCGGACGCTTGGTTCAGTATGTTTACATTCCAGGAGAAGAGACAGAAGAACAGAAGAAGAACGCTTTTCATTGATTAATCAAAGTACTTTATTTGTGATAAGCTAATCAAAGCATTTGTTGATCATTAATAATCAGGTGAATGATCTGTGAAATAAAGATGTCATGAGTTATGTGTTTAAATGAATAAACAGGAATGCACCAGACAGACTGATATACATTACCATGGAATCTCTTTTCTTGTCTCTCAGTCAATACAGAGTGTTTAAGTAAACTCCCTGATGATAAAAACAACCACTTCTGATTGATTACTTAGATCTAATTGAGGTGTATAAATATACAAAATCAAATAATTAAATTATCTAGTTACAGTGTATAAATATACAACTACACCAAATTGCCTACTGGTGGTGGTCGGAGAGACCGGTGGTGCCTGTGCTCGGCAGCCTCTCCTCTGTGGCTACATTTTAGATCATCACCATCAGTGTGTGAATGTGTGTGTGAATGGATGAATGATAGGCTGTAGTGTAAAGCGCTTTGCAGTCCTCTGACTCTGAAAGGTGCTATACAAGTATGGACCATTTATCATTTACTGTTCTACATGTTTCTTGCTGGGGCTTAGGACCTAAGCCATACTCAAATTCAGAGTTTAATTTGGGAGTAGACACTCTCCTCTGGCATTAACTTTCTCTTCTTCTTTCCCCTTCCCCCTTCTTCAGAGAAACTTATTGCCGAGTAGATCAGATCATGTCCATATTCAACCTGTGCAAAAAATGTAAAAAGTACTTATAAAACCATGAAAATCATTTTATTGTATTGTTGTAGTTGTATACTTCTTACATCAGTGTTTGGCTGGCTCGGGTTCTGTCCTTGTCGTGAATTTGTCCTTTCTACCCCTAATAATAGAGAGAAGCAATATTTTTTTATTTGAACTGACACACACACACACACACAGAATTGTATGTTTCACATGATTTAAGATGTTTTTTTTTCACACATTTAATTTTTGGGTTGCCAACACTATGGGACGAATATTCCTTGATGGCAAAAAGGTTCCAGAGAAACATCTCAGACTGCACCTTTAACAAATCTGGAATCTATTTCTGAGACCAAAATCTTCAACGTTCAAAACAGAAACTTATTAGACAAAAGCTTTTTTGGCAGTCTGATAAAACTGTGTGTGTGTGTGTGTGTGTGTGTGTGTGTGTGTGTGTGTGTGTGTGTGTGTGTGTGTGTGTGTGTGTGTGTGTGTGTGTGTGTGTGTGTGCGCGCGCGTGCATGCGTGCGTGCGTGCGTGTGTGTGTGTGTGTGTGTCACAAGCCAGTATTGGATCATTTTTTTTGCAGCCATCCAGTTCTCTGGGTCTAGACATAAAGTGCCGGCAAATCGGCGTAATATCACCACGGTGTGTCTTATAAACGCACCGTGCCGGCATGGTGTTGCGCAAATTTTGCGGCATTTGTTCCACTTCGCTTTGAAGTTATATTGCGGTAATTGTCTGTCATATAAATTTAGATTGCACCTTGGCACAACAGAGGGAGGCGTCATGATGGCGTAGAGGATTAATGGTAAATTCCGGCTGGCAACTTAATTGAAAATTAAAGTAAACACGGGCTGTAAATTATGCTTTTAAAACAAAATCAGCTGAGATGGCAAACTGGAGCAATGCAGAGCTCCAGGAGCTTCTGTATGTTAGAGCCGGAGGTCTGATCATTAGAGACTGCACAGGGACTGTGGGAGACAGACACCTTTAGGAGCGGCTTATTAAAAAAATATGTAACGATTGTGGCTTCAATTGCAATAAAAAGCAAGTTATATCCAATAT